TCGCGGGCGCTGGCTCACACCTGTAATCCTAGCTCTTGGGAGCCGAGGCGGGCGGATTGCTCAAGTCAGGGTTCAAAACCAGCCTGAGCAAGAGCAGACCCCGTCTCTACTATAAATAGGAAAGAAATTAATTGCCAACTGATATAGTATATAGAAAAAATAGCGGCATGGTGCGCATGCCTGTAGTCCCAGCTACCGGGAGCTGAGGCAGAAGGATCACTCCGAGCCCAGGATTTGAGGTTGCTGTGAGCTAGGCTGACGCCACGGCACTCACTCTAGCCTGGCAACAAGCGAGACTCTGTTCACAAAAAAAAAAAAAAAAAAAAAAAAAAAATGCTCAGGCTGGTTTTGAACTCCTGACCTTGAGCAATCCGCCCGCCTCGGCCTCCCAGAGAGCTAGGATTACAGGCGTGAGCCACCGCACCCGGCTGCTTTTCTTTATTTGAATGAAGAAAAAGATAAGAATTTCATAGGAACACAAAGTAGTAGTATTTTCATAGCTTGTATTACATTTTGCCAGATTGCATTCTAGAAAGAATAAATGATTCACAGGTGTTGCAGTTTTTCTGAAGTCTTTTCATTTAGGTTTGTATTGTTTCTGTGCTCTTTTGTTAATTTGATGTAAGAGTTGCACATCCTCTTCAAGATTGATTTTGTATTTTTTCTAATTTGAATGTATTCTGGTTTCCATCTACCAGCAGTCTCCCCAGAAGCCCAATGCTCTTCCACCTTCTGCTTCTATGGATGAAGAAGAAGGGGAAACCTGCACAATATGTTTGGAACAGTGGACCAATGCTGGGGACCACCGGCTCTCAGCATTACGCTGTGGGCACCTCTTTGGGTATAGTTGCATTTCTAAGTGGCTCAAAGGACAAGCACGAAAATGTCCCCAGGTAAGGACCATAGGTAATGACCCACATGTTAAGTCAGGAGAATTCCTAGCACTACACTAATTGTGTCCTTTTGTCCTCTTTAGTGCAACAAAAAAGCCAAGCATAATGACATCGTTGTGCTTTATGCCCGAACCCTGAGAGCTTTGGACACTAGTGAACAGGAACGCATGAAAAGGTAGGTGGTGAGAGTAGAGTGTTCCTAGCTGCAGTGTTCCCTTTTAGTTCTTTGTAGGCACATCTGGAAAAGGAGGTCAGAGTAACTCTTAGGCTTTACTTGATTTGTGACTTGGGGTCTCTGGGGATCCTTGGCAGTCTGTCTCACACTGTTGTTTATATTTCTATGTCTGATCATCTTCTGAAGGATGTCTACATGGTTTGTGCTCCATATAGCGTTACAATTAGAATCTGGCATGTCACTTAACTGTTGCTATTTTTGCTTCTTATGTTCCTGGTCCCCCACTAGAACAGCTTTCTACTCTGAAGACTCAATAAGGTAAACTTTGCACATGCGGTGCAATCCAAAAAAATTATCAAGATTTTGGAAGCCCATGGATGATTGTTAATAACACCACTTAAAATATGCTTTGAGGGCCAGGCACGATGGCTCACACCTGTAATTCTAGCACTCTGGGAGGCCGAGGCGTGCGAATTGCTCAAGGTCAGGAGTTCGAAACCAGCCTGAGCAAGAGTGAGATCCCATCTCTACTATAAATAGAAAGAAATTAATTGGCCAACTAATATATATAGAAAAAATTAGCCGGGCAGGGTGGTGCATGCCTGTAGTCTCAGCTACTCTGGAGGCTGAGCCAGTAAGATCGCTTGAGCCCAGGAGTTTGAGGTTGCTGTGAGCTAGGCTGATGCCACAGCACTCACTCTAGCCTGGGCAACAAAGCGAGACTCTGTCTCAAAAAAATATGCTTTAAGAACATTAAAGAATAAAAATACCCACCTTTATAATTGTGTTATAGTTGCCTACAGTATTCAGCACAGTAACATGCTACGCTATACAGGTTTGTTGTCTTGGAGCAATAGACTATATACCACATTGCCTAGGTTATCAGTTATCATCTGGTATGTGGGGGATGCCATTGCTCTTATTTTCTTGATTTTGATTCCAACAGCCTTACTAAACTAAAAGTTTCTGCGTTACTGTGTTCTCTTGAGTTTTTCATGAAAATAAATACCTCTTCTTTCTAGTTTTCAGATCTTTTTCTTTTGTATCTTATTGGACTGAAATTTGGTCTTTACATTTTATATTTTGAAACTGTTTTTAGGTGCATACAAATTCATGATTGCTATTCTTGGTGAATGTGTCCTCCTATGATACATTGTTCTGTTTTATGCCTATTTATGCTGTTTCTATAGTTCTAGTTGGGTTTTTTTTGTTAGCATTTGCTTGGTATATACTTTCTTTTTAACTTCAGCCTTTTCTGTATACATTATTTGAGTCTCTCTTGTGAACAACCAACAGCTTATTTTCTTTTAATCTAACAGATAACCTTGATCTTTTAACGTATCAGTTTAACTTTTTACAATTTGCCTTAGGTCAAGCAAGCACCGAGTTGGTTCTATTTCCCTCATTTTGCCTATGGCATTTTTAGTCCCCATTCCCTAGTAGGAGTTAAATTCCTAACTATTCTAGTGTTTGCTTAACACCAGAGCCCAGTAGGCTCATGAGTTCAGTCCTACATGCTATTCTTCTGTAGTGTTTCTAGACTTGAGAGATTTTTTGTCTTATATTTTATTCGCTTTCATGACATATTTTCAGCAAGGTATGTGTAAACTTACTATATGTTTATTTTTGAGAGAGAGAGCGTTTTGCTCTATCACAGCCAGGCTAGAGTGCAGTGATGTCATGATAACTCACTGCAACCTCAGACTCCTGGGCTCAAGCAATCCTCCTGCCTCAGCCTCCCTAGAAACTGGGACTACAGGTGAGCACCACCATGCCCAGCTAATTTTTCTATTTTTTGTGAAGACAGGGTCTTGCTCTTGCTTAGGCTGGTCTTGAATTGGCCTCAGGCAGTCACCTGCCTTGGCCTCCCAGAGTGCTAAGATTATAGGTGTGAGGCGCTGCACCCAGCTCTGTGCCATCCTGATGGGAAGTCTTATGTAGCCTTCTTAATCCCCACTTGTTGTTTACTTTGCCCCTCTAGTTCCCTCCAGAAAGAGCAGATGCTAAGAAAGCAGGCCGAGCTAGAATCGGCACAGTGCCGGCTCCAACTTCAGGTCCTCACTGATGAGTGCAGTAAGCTTCACAGCCGTGTTCAGGTAAGTTTGTCCTTTCTTTTTTTTCTTTTCTTTTTTTTTTTAAGACAGAGTCTCGCTTTGTTGCCCAGGCTAGAGTGAATGCCATGGCATCAGCCTAGCTCGCAGCAACCTCAAACTCCTGGGCCCAGGCAATCCTCCTGCCTCAGCCTCCCGAGCAGCTGGGACTACAGGCATGTGCCACCATGCCCGGCTAATTTTATATATGTATATATATATTAGTTGGCCAATTAATTTCTTTCTATTTTTTTTATAGTAGAGACGGGGTCTCGCTCTTGCTCAGGCTGGTTTTGAACTCCTGACCTTGAGCAATCCGCCCGCCTCGGCCTCCCAAAGTGCTCGGATTATAGGCGTGAGCCACTGCGCCTGGCCAAGTTTGTCCTATCTAACCCAAAGAACTTTAGGAATTGAAGAATCTAAATATTACTTAGGTTCATTTCAAGTACAAATAGGATTTGCCAAGTTACTTAGGAAATAAACATGATCAACTCTTTATTTCTGATTTGTCTAAAAGTTAATTTATAATGAAATCTATAACCCGAGTTTTAGGAAAAAAATTAAACAGGCAGATGAGAATTCTAGACTTGTTTAAATCAACTTTTACTCCCTGAGTTTACCCATAAAATAAGAACTTTGGACAAAATGACCATTAAGGACTTTGAACCCTAATATCTTATGGTTCTGTGTGCTCCTTATTTCAGTTGTTTGTCAAAGTACTGTGAAAACTCAGCAGTTCTCTATTTGCGTTAACATTTTCACATAAAGGATAAGAAATCTTCTTGTATCAGATCAAGGAATTGTGCTTTAGGGGAATGTCAAAGGAAAAAGCTTTGCATTTATAAAATGTTTTTCGTTTTAGGACTTGCAAAAACTTGTTGTGCAGCGTCAGGATCAGGTTGTGCAGCAACCCAGTGGCTCCCAAGCACATATCCTGAGGTGCTTGCCCCTGAGCCAGGGTCAGCACAAGTACCACTTCCAGAAGACCCTCACAGTGTCTCAGACAGGAAACTGCCGAATCATGGCATACTCCAATGCTCTGAGCTGCCTGGTTGTGTCGCAGCCTTCTCCTCAGGCCTCCTTCCTTCCAGGTAAACAGTCCAGAACTTCAGCTTTTGTGTTCAGTATTGGACTCCATTTATTTCTTTCCTCTCTGTTTTTGAAGAATTCAGGACTCAATAGTAGGTGAATACTGGCCACAGCCCACCAGATCCCCTTTTCCTGTCTGTTCCCTGTTAATACAGGTAATTGAGGGTGGTGGTTCTGTAAATTTATTCATCAGGAGGGTGGAAATACTCACAACCATGGTAAAGCAGATGAGGTACTTGGAAGGTTAGGTTACTGGTATACTACAAGGAGAAGAACTTCACTCCCTGTATGTCCCACTCAACTCACAGATTCATCTTAGACTGGAAGTGTTTGACAAAATACTACCTAAGGGCTAATTCAAAGTGGCTAGCCAAGGGCTAATTCAAATTCAACAAAATTTAATACTTATTTTCAATACTATTTGAATTGATTGTTCTCAAAAAAAAAAAAAAAAAAAAAGAGTCTCTTGTCCCTGCTAGAGTGCCATGATGTCAGCCTAGCTCACAGCAACCTCAAACTCCTGGGCTGAAGCAATCCTTTTGCCTCAGCCTCCTGAGTAGCTGGGACTACAGGCATGTGCCACCATGCCCAGCTAATTTTTTCTATATATTTTTAGTTGGCCAATTAATTTGTTTCTATTTTTAGTAGAGATGGGGTCTTGCTCTTGCTCAGGCTGGTTTCGAACTCCTGACCTTGAGCGAGCCACATGCATTTGCCTCCCAGAGTGCTAGGATTATATGCGCGAGTCACTGTGCCCAGCCTGAACTGATATTTTTAAGAGGATTTGGGGAGTACATTGATTATTAATACTATAATATGTTAATTTCTTCTCTTACCATATTTTGTGCTTTTTAAGCTTAAATTTAGATTGTCTTAGTGTTGAAAACCAAATCTTTTCACATGTCCAATTAAGTCATTTCTAAATGTTGCAGACGTTTCTTTCTACTGTCTTCCCCATAGGATTTCTGCCAACTGTGAGATCACTTTGCTTCAGACTGATTTCCTCTGTTTCCCCACTTAGAAGTTCCATTCAAATGCTTCAAAACTATGTCCTCCAAACTTAGGTATATGAAGGGTTGGGAGTGGAATCCTTAGACTATCATAGATTTCTCTATTCAATGATATTAGCTATGAGTTGAAATGCTATTGGGAGTATCCTTCACTTGAGAGGAAAGTAAAAGGATTATTTATAATGTTCCTATATCTTGTCTGAGGTTTTTTTTTTTTTTTTTTTTTTTGAGACAGAGTCTCACTTTGTTGCCCAGGCTAGAGTGAGTGCCATGGTGTCAGCCTCGCTCACAGCAACCTCAATCTCCTGGGCTCAAGCGATCCTCCTGCCTCAGCCTCCCAAGTAGCTGGGACTACAGGCATGCGCCAACATGCCCGGCTCATTTTTTTCTATATATATTTTTAGTTGGTCAATTAATTTCTTTCTACTTTTGGTAGAGACGAGGTCTCGCTCAGGCTGGTTTCAAACTCCTGACCTTGAGCAATCCGCCCGCCTCGGCCTCCCAAAGTGCTAGGATTACAGGCGTGAGCCACCGCGCCTGGCCTCTTGTCTGAGTTTTTAATAAAAAGGTTTATTATCAAATAAAACCTTTTTCACAAATCGGAAAAATATTGTTTCTTCTAATGCTCTCCAAATTGGGTGCATGTTCCGTTCCTTTTTTCTTAGTGTCCAGTCAAGTCTGCACAGCCGGCTCTGCTTGATATTCTTCTGGTGCTAATTTGTCCTTGTTTCCCTTATTGGGTAGGCATTTATTCATCTCGTATTCATTTAAAGCCTATAGTCTCCCTTTTTGTCTGTCTGACTCTGCTAATTCTGCCTCAGAAGATAACATTAAACTTTCTCCTACTTGGTTCCTTGGAGAATCCGAAGGATACTTAGAATCTAGGATTTGATAAATTATTCCTTTTTTTAATAACTCAGGTAATAATAGATACTTAGTGAAAATAAATCTGACTAAGCGTGGTAGGCAGCATTTCTGCCTGAAATTAAATGAAAGATGATATTTCAAGTACCCAGTCAATGTGTAACATTGTGGGGTAGTGGACAAAAATTTGTCCTTTTTAAAGTATTCTCTTACTAGGGTATGATAACTGATTGATTGGAGTTTTCCTTTTTTTTTTTTTTTCCTTGAGACAGCGTTTCACTGTCATACAGGCTAGAGCACCAGTAGCACAATTATATTAGCTCAGTGCAACCACAAACTATTGAGCTCAAGCAATCCTCCTTGCTCAGCCTCCCAAGTAACTAGGACTACATGCGTCTACCACCATGCCTGACTAACTTTTTAATTGTAGATAGGTCTTACTATTTTTTAAATTTTTGTAGACCTCATTATTTTGTCCAAGCTAGTCTCAAACTCCTGGCCTCAAGCAATCGATCCTTCCACATCGACCTCCAAAAGTGCTAGGATTACAGATGTGAGCCACTGCACCTTGCCTGGAGGGAGTATTCTTGCTCATATTCTCTCTCTCTCTCACTCAACAGTTTTATTGAAGAGTAATTGACATACAACAAACTGTACATATTTAAAGTATACAATTTGATGAGTTTTCAAATGTATATACCCCTGAAACTTGTCACTATAATAAGGATAATGGATATGTCATCCCCAAAAGTTTTCTTATATCTTTTTATAATTCTTTCCACTTGTTCCTCCCTCCTTTCACCATCCCCAGGCTACTACTGATCTGCTTTTTGTCACTGTAGATTATGTTGCATTTTTTTAGAATTTTATGTAAATGGAATCATACAGATTACTCTTTTTGGTTTGACTTCTTTCAGCATATTTTTTTATAGTATATATCAATAGTTAGTATTTCATTGTGTGTAGGTACCCTAGATTTGTTCATCCATTTACCTGTTGATGGACATTTGGAATGGATTATACTTTTTTTTTTTTTTTTTTTTTTTGAGACAGAGTCTCACTTTGTTGCCCAGGCAAGAGTGAGTGCCGTGGCGTCAGCCTAGCTCAAGATTTTTTTCTCTATTCAGGGTTTTATTGAGATTCTATATAAAATCTTAGAATGGATTTTTCTTTTTTTTTTTTTTTTTTTTGAGACAGTGTCTCCCTCTCTTTTCTGGGCTAGAGTGCTGTGGCGTCATCCTAACTCAACAGCATCCTTAAACTCCTGGGCTCAAGCAATCCTCCTGCCTCAGCATCCTGGGTAGTTGGGACTACAGGCACGTGCCACCATGCCCAGCTGATTTTTTCTATTTTTAGTTATTTGGCTAATTTCTTTCTATTTTTGATAGAGACAGGGTCTCACTCATGCTCAGGCTGGTTTTGAACTCCTGAGCTCAAGCAGTGCTCCTGCCTCGGCCTCCCACAGTGCTAGGATTACAGGTGTGAGCCACCAGGCCTGGCCAGATTATACTTTTTAAAATACATAATTTAACACTAGGGAATTTTTATTTTCTTTGTTTGACCAGCTCTTTCCCGAGGACTTACATGCCAAGAAAAATAGACAAAGGAGCTACTTGAAGAGATAGTTTGCCTTAAGTTGAATTTCAGTGATCTGTTTCATACTCTCTCATCTTTGGCAGGCTTTGGTGTTAAGATGTTGAGTACTGCCAACATGAAAAGCAGTCAGTACGTTCCGATGCATGGCAAACAGATCCGAGGGCTGGCTTTCAGCAATCGATCCAAAGGCTTACTACTCTCTGCTTCTCTAGACCATACTATTAAACTGACCAGGTGAGTGATTGGAGAGGAAGATGGGGACTTAGCTGCCTGATGTTGAGCAGAATGGAATTAGTATCAGTGTTATGATGGCCTTAGCTCTCTTTTTTGGTCTAAGGCATTGTTTTCTTTTTTATTTAAAAGTGGACATCCACTTCCACTTCCTTAAAAGCAAACCCAAAAAAGAAAATAAAAAAAAGAAAGAAAGTGGACACAGCAGGTTCAAAACTATGTGTAGTATCCTCTTTCTTTAAAATTTTATGTGTTACTGAGTATGTCTTAAACCATGCAGATGAGAGTAAAACTTTAGAGATGGTAGAATGACAATATGGAGAGAGCCATGGTATCTGACATCATGGTGTCTCCATACCAGCTTGCAAGTGCTTATTCCTGGCCTATTACCTGGATAATTCTGCCTAACAGAAATGTTCACCAAATACTCACTGCCCTTGGGTACCATAATGACTTCCTGCACATCCTCTCTTGGTTAGGGCATTTTATCTTTCACATGCTCTACAAGTACGTTGAGGCAGATCTGAGAGTGTTCCATGCCTTTAACTTTTCAAAAGTAGTCATGATTAGACGTCTGATAGTTGGGTTCCTATTTAATTTCTGCAGCTAAATCTAAGGGACATCCTGATAGCACTATCAGGACTGATTAGGCTTTTGGCTTTTCAGTGAATGCTTGAGCTTACTTTTGGCCAGAAACTCAATGAAACATTATGTTTTATATTTATATATATGCTGTGTTTTTTTGAAGAAGTGTTGGGTTTGTTTGTTTTTTGAGACAGAGTCTTGCTCTGTTGTCCCGGATAGAGTGCAGTGGTATGATCATGGCTCACAGCAACCTTAAACTCCTGGGCTCAAGTGATCCTTCTGTCTCAGCCTCCCAAGTAGTTGGCATGCACCACCACACCTGGCTAATTTTTTCTATTATTGGTGGAGACGGGGTCTTGCTTATTCAGCTCGTCTCAAACTCCTGAGCTCAAGTGATCCTCTTATCTTGGTCTCACAGAGTGCTAGGATTACAGGCATTAGCCATGGTGCCCAGCCCAAAAGTATTATTTTAAAAATAGGGGGGAAATACTAAATGCCAAAGTGTTATTAATGATTACCTTTGGTGGTTTGATAGTTTATTTTTTCTGATATGTATTTTCTTACATTATATACCGTGTTTCTCTGAGAATAAGACAGGGTCTTATATTCATTTTTCCTCAAGAAGACGCCCTAGGGCTTATTTTCAGGGGCTGTGTTATTTTCCCCTCAAAGCCTCAGCTTGCAGCACGCACAGGGTGGCCAGGACCTGACAAGGGGAGCTGACCTTGTGGGTGGGGCTGCCCACACCTTTCCGGTCACCTCTGGGATAGTAGCTGTCACGATGGGGCAGATGAGAAGGGCTGCTCATCTTCTTTACCGTTCTGCGAGGAAATGCATGGGTTGTGCAGATACACTGCATAGCCATGCCCATCACTAGGTCTTATTTTCGGGGAAACACAGTATTGATTACCTGTGTGGTAGGTAACTATCTAGAAGGTCACAGGAGTAGAGTGGGGAATGTATTGTTTGTATGTCTCTTTAACTTACTCTTTTACTTCCTTATAGCTTAAGAGGAAAACCTATGGCCCCCAAAACAGATGTTTTCGAATTTAAAAGGGCTATCTGGGCAGTCCCTAGGGGAAATTGGGAACCCAGATAGTTTGGGTGTGGGGGTGTTTTCTCAATAAGGATTATTTATCATTTAAATAATTTTTATATGTCTTGTCATGTATTTGACTTTCTCAATGCATAGTTTTAAAAGTCTCTTATAATTCCACAGCCTGGAGACAAATACTGTGGTCCAGACTTACAATGCTGGACGTCCTGTCTGGAGCTGTTGTTGGTGTCTTGATGAGAATAATCACATCTATGCTGGACTGGCTAATGGTTCAATTCTCGTATATGACCTGCGAAACACGAGCTGTCATGTCCAAGAGTTAGTACCTCAGAAAGCCAGGTAGGGAGCCACCTACTTTTTTCCTGTGGGTAGAAGCTTTCTCTCAGATGTTGTTGTGTTAATCCTCTCTTCAGGGGGTATTCCACAGTTGGTCAGAAATCTTTTTTAACTACATAAAGGGCAGTTCTCTTAAGATGCAGTGACATCACTTCATAGCTAATAAGATCTTTAGAGGTTGTGTTCATGATATTTCACATGATGGAAAGCTCTGAGACTGAGTATAGCCAGGTTCATATAGTCAGTAGACATGGTAAAATAGAGTCTGGATACGTATTCAGAACCCAGCTCTGCTACTTACAAGCTATGTGATCTTGGTTGTGTTTCTCAGCATGCTGTGAGCTTCATCTATAAAATCTAGTTCATACAGATTTGCTTGAATAGCCATATGTCCACCACATAGAAAGGAATTAGTAAAGGATAGCCTAATAAAAAAAAGTAATTCAAAACTTCCCTAATCCAAATTTAAGCCCGTTAACTTTGAGTATACCATATTATTGAGTTGAATATACCATATTATTATCATTTATAATCCAATTACAGGCTTGGGAGGCTGGTAAAGCCAGCCCAGATTCTGGGGGTGGAGAGCCACCATTGTGGCTTCCCAGAGTGTGCTCAGTGCTATTTGGGCTGCCCTGGAGGTATAAAGTTCTCTAAAGGGGAGTGGTATCTTAAGAGAGAATTTCCATTTCTAATTTGAATATATGTTAAAAGGAGCATGGGAATCTAAACATAAAGATATCACTACCATAATAATTATTTACCAAAACCTAGGCTCAGCACTTTGGGACTTTGTTCATTTTGGTAAAGTGGAATCTTGCCTCAGTGGTGTGCACAGGAGTGAAGATTAGTTTACTGGGAAAATGAAATAAATTAGGCAAAGTGGTCACTTTGGTTACTTCAGCAGAAGTGAGTTCATAGGAACATAGTCCGCAGGCTGATATTTTTGAGAGGATTCTTGGCAGTCCTGGTCATTTGCTTGTAGAAAGAAATTAGAAACTCTTAAAAAAAATCTTGTTTCTGGATTAAAACATGGTTGCTTTTGGCTACATTTTATTGCAGGGTCTGTCAGCTACAGCTTGGAATCTTTATGATGTATATAAGCTTTGTTTCCTTGCTGACTTTCCTTATCTGTGTGGCAAGAAAGCTTTCCAGAAGCTTCACATCAGTCAAGTAATTGTGATCTTGTGTCCATTAAATTTCCTAGTCCTTTTTTTTTCCATTTCTTTTAGAGCACCTGGTGTCTCCCCTGAAATTAGATGCAGAATATTACATGTAAACCCTTTTGTTTTTATAGAGAGGGTTGAGAGTTTTTATCAGACATCAGAGGATACCTCTGCTGTAGAGGTAGGAATGTACTTGAGGGTTGCAAGTAGTGGAGTTTAGAGCAGTCCAAGTTTTGGAATGTGAGACACAGTTTCCTTTCTTTTCCTGCAGATGTCCACTGGTGTCCCTGTCATACATACCCAGAGCTGCCTCAAGTGCATTTCCATATGGTGGGGTGCTGGCTGGAACCTTGGAGAACGCTTCCTTCTGGGAATTGAGAATGGGATTTTCTCATTGGCCTCATGTGCTGCCCTTGGAGCCAGGGGGCTATGTAGACTTTCAGACAGAGAGTAGCACACGGCACTGTCTTGTGACCTACAGGCCTGGTGAGTGTTAGAGTATCCTCATGGGGCCTCCTGTGGTTTGTTTGGGAGCAGATTGGCAGAGAAGAGGGAAGGAGAGCTTAATTCTACCCTTTTGGGTGGCTGTTGTGTAAGCCCCTCTTAGACTAACAGTTATGTCACAGCTCTTGCTACTACACTGAGATTGATGGCTCCAAGTTCCTTCACTGACTTGCCTCTCTGCTCCTTACTGGCAAGAACTGGAACATACTCCACCCAATACTCTTGGAAGTGAATTAGCCACATATGAGCTCCTACAACTGAAAACAGTAATGGAATGAGGTGACCAGCTCTCAATGCCCTTGAGCCAACTTTAGTTCAGTTTCATGTCTTCTGCCTGTCCCCCGGTTCAACTAAGAAAAAGGCCCAAATGAAGGTACCTGTGTAGTGCCCAGATTAGGACATTATCTAATTTTCCTTATTGGGGGCCAAGAAAGGTAAACAGAAGGTGAACAACCATGGTTGTGTTGGTTTAGCTAGCTAGATGTCACTGCCTCCAGAGTTAGGGTAAAACCCCTGATAGCTGACTGTGTTTAAATTCACAGGTTCTTTCTAACCTAAAAGGCATGAATCTAAATTCCTGATGAACCATACTGATTGATGATCAGTGTTGTAGTTTTTTACCTTTCCAAGTTGGTCATGAGGTCTCTCTGCAAAATGGCTATCACCTCTGACTCTACCCTGGCAGGACTCCAGGGATTGGTCATGAATGTTTACAGTGTGCCTTTCACAGGATGCTTTTTTATCCTGGCAGATGGGCTAATGCCTAAATGTCCAAATCACAGAAACTTGTTTATACTGGCAGGCACCCTTGTGGCTCTTTTCTAACCTGTGTCAGTCTGTGCCTCCTAAGATGGCCACTCTCTAGGAGAGCCCTGACAAGGAAAGAAGTTAGGTTCAGGCTTGTTGTCAGGTGAGACAGAGGAGGCAACTCAGCAAAAGACGTGAGATAACAAGTAGTTTATTACTTACAGATCCCAGGGAGAAAAGGGCAACATGCTTTGAAGGGCCAATGAGAAGAAGAGGGAGCCATCCAGGAGGGATGCTCCCAACAAGCAGGGAGTGAGACAGGGAACTCATGGGACATGCCTTTATTGAGGGCTAGGGCATTGTCCCTTAGGCTTTCCCTCGAGGGTTGTGGGTTAGCCAGTTTAAAGACAACATGTACAAAAGCAGGGGGATTTACATGACTCTGGTGCTGACCATTAGCTTTTATTGCGGTTAGCAGCTGTGGAATATATAGGGTTTTGGGTCAGTGGGATGATGAACGAGTGGGCTATATTGCAGACCACCTTGTGGGGAGAGGAAGTTTTAGCTAGGCCAAACGTGACAGTTTTTTTGGGTTTCACACAATTTATGTTACACCTAAAAATGGATGCCGACACAGCAACTATATTAAACAAATTTATGACAGGTAGCTATTTGGTCAGAGTTAGTCATTAAATGCCCACACTTTTGCTAGTTGTGGGTAGATCTCATCATTTTAAGGTTTTTTTTATTTTTTGTGTTTTTGAGACAGCGTCTCACTCTTGCCCCAGCTAGAGTGCAGTGGCATCATCATAACTCACTGTAACCTCACACTTCTGGCCTCAAGAGATCCTCCTGCCTCAGCCTCCTGAGCAGCTGGGACTACAAGTGTATGCCATCATGCCTGTCTAATTTTTCTATTTTTGGTAGAGACATAGTCTCTCTTTTGCTCAGGCTGGTCTTGAACTCCTGACTTCAAGCAATCCTCCTGCTGTGGCCTCCCTGAGTGCCAGGATTACAGGCGTGAGCCACCACACCCAGCCATTTTAAATTTTGTTTGAACTGGGAAACTGTCAGCTGGCTCTTCTGATCTTTTGGGCTCTGAATTTCATTTATGCTATATTGTTCCTGTTACTGTATTTGTTTTGTAACAATTCTTAATGGTTTAACACACTTAGGGCTTTTCCATCCAGCTAGGATGTAAGTGTCTGAGGTTCAGGTACTGGGTTAATTTCTTTTGTTGCATCCCCATGGTGCAGCACTGATTTCTCTGTCCCATAGATAAAAACCACAAGACCATACGAAGTGTGCTGATGGAGATGTCCTATACACTGAATGACACTGGAGAACCAGTCTGTTCCTGCCATCCTGTACAAACATTCCTTGGAGGACCCACTTGTAAACTCTTGACCAAAAGTGCCATTTTCCAAAACCCACAGAATGATGGCAGCATACTGGTGTGTACAGGGGATGAAGCATCAAATTCAGCCCTGGTGAGCCTGTTAATTTGTTTATTTTGTATAAATACTGCTAAGGGAAAACTTGAACATTTTTAAACAGAAGAAGAAAAGGTGGGGACGTTGGATCTGTTCTAGATTAAAATAAACAATTAAAATTTATAACCACCAAATGTAATGTGGGCCTTACTTGGATCCTGATTCAAACAAACTGAATATAAATAAAATCAGAAAATTTTGATTATGCACAAGTGTTAGATAGTATTATGGAATTACTGTTCATTTTGTTGGATATGATGACTTGTAAAGTGTCAAGTGAAAGAAAATGTCTTTTTAGAGATGCATACTTAGCATGTAAGGGTAAGATGACATGAAGTCAACAAAGAAAGCAAGATTGATAAAGCAGAAGTGGTAAAAGCTTAGTCTTTTTTTTTTAAATCTCCCTCAAGCCTTTGGGGGGAAAAGCATAATAATTGTTGAATGTGATGATAGGTGGCTCATCGTACTGTTCTCTTTACTTTATAATACTCTAAAATGTTTTTTTGTTGTTGTTTGTTTGTTGTTGTTTTTTTGAGACAGACGCTTTGTTGCACAGGCTAGAGTGAGTGCCGTAGCATCAGCCTAGCTCACAGCAACCTCAAACTCCTGGGGTCAAGCAGTCCTCCTGCCTCAGCCTCCCGAGTAGCTGGGACTACAGGCATGCGCCACCATGCCCGGCTAATTTTTTTCTATATATATTAGTTGGCCAATTAATTTATTTCTATATTTATAGTAGAGACGGGGTCTGACTCTTGCTCAGGCTGGCTTCGAACTGACCTTGAGCATTCCGCCTGCCTCGGCCTCCCAGAGTGCTAGGATTACAGGCGTGAGCCACCGCGCCCGGCCATTCTAAAATGTTTTTGATAATAGTTTTTAGAAAGGAAAAGAAAGTACTAATTAGAAGGTAGGTTCCATGAGGTCAGGGACAGGGACTTTGTCTTATTGACCCTTTAGTCCCTAGAAAAGACAAAACCTAGAAGAGTGCCTGGCACATAGATTGAAGGAATGAATGCTAGGCTTGGTTTACGGGTGCACTCATGGGTGGTGTAATTGCTGATTACAGTAGGTGAGTCCATACCTGAACTATGTCCAGCATGCTGGCTTTGTGCAACCTTGTGAAGGTTCGGGCCCGTCTGCTTTGCTACCCTTGAAGTTTTCTCTCTATAGCTCTTCCATAGTTGTTTGGTGATAAAGTAAGTCCCTCAGCTGAACTGACTGACTCTTGGCCTTTCTACTTGTCTTCTTTAGCTGTGGGATGCTGGCAGTGGCTCATTGCTGCAGGACCTGAAGACTGATCAGCCTGTTTTGGACATCTGCCCATTTGAGGTGAACCATAACAGCTACTTGGCTACCTTAACAGAGAAGATGGTTCTCATCTATCGATGGGAGTGACCATGGTCTTGAGACCTTTCAGGCATGCTCCTGGTTAACTTCAAATATTTGCTAGCATCTAACAGCCCTGAGCACAATCCCTGCATTTTGCCTGCTGCCTAGAACTTTTGGGATCATGGTTCATTTGGATTAATATGATTCTAGGACTCCAGGTCACTGAGACACTACAAACTGTGGATCTACTATGTCTGTCAAAAGAACATGTGTCTAGTACTCCGTCTACATTATCCATTTCTTGTGTTTAAAGCCTTCATGAATCTTTATTTTTTATCTAACTCTCTGAGGACCTTAGAGAATGTCCTCTCAGCAGTCACTTAGGATATGAGTGGACACCAAGCATTTTCTAGAGGATGTGACACCCCACCTGAGTGATCACTTGTGCTTTGGGAGCGCTACCTCCTTGAAGGGACTAACCACCTTCTTGATGCTGATTGGATGCAGCCTAGATGCAGAAGTGTCTTTATTCAGTTGAACACAAGAGGGCACTGTAGAACCTTGTGTAGGGTTTGATTTATTTTTGACCTTGAAGGCTGACAGCCTCTTATTAGTAACTTGGTCTCATCCCCATAGAAGTGTATGGTAGAGCACATCTGGTGTGCTTTGTGTCGACAAGTTGTGTTCCAGGCACAAGATTCTGGGCCATTGGCAGGCCCAGTGAGGGAGGCAGCAGATGAACTGTAGACCTTTTGCTAATGTCATTGTGAGATCTAGGAAGAGACCATTTGTTTGAATAGTTCGCAAGACTTGTTTTTTTCTAGCCAGTTTAGGATATCAGGATTGGTTTTATCTAAGCCAGTGCTTTAATGACCACTCCTTTTACCTCTCACTAGGAAAAGATGAGTGATATGTCAAAGTGTTTACTTGAGTCTCCTTTACTATCAGAGATCAGGAGCAAGGACTAGGGGCTTACAAAAGAAGCTGCTTGGCCTGCTATTGACAACAGGAGAAGGATTTGTCTCTCCCATTTTGAGAGAGTTCCTATAAGACTAAAGTTAATCCCCTGGAGTGAGGGCCTGCTCTTGAATGTGTTTATAATTCCCAGGTAAAGGCTTCCCCATGTGTAAATGATGTGATTCCAAGTTCCTTTGATTTGCTCCCCTAACCTTTTCTGAAAGTGTTAGTAAAATTATCAGGAATAGTGGTTGGAGACTGTGTGAGTGGCAAGGAGGTGCCCACCAACTTTCATCCAGTTCTAGATTGTCCAGTACTGGGAGCTGCACTTCTTTGCAGTTGAAAGCTTTGCTTCGGGCTACTCTGCCACATCACTGTCCACAACAGACCATGTTTCAGCGTGTGGGCAGGTCAGTGCCCTGCTTGTGGTTAACAGCAGCAGGGTGGTTAACAGTTGGATTTTTTAAATTATTATTAGATGTTATCATTTTATTATGAAATACTTATGACCCGTCAATTCCTGAGCTGTTCCCAGGATCTTTCTCTCCAGCCAGGAGTTGTTCTGTAGATTTCCCCAGATTTCCAAGTTCTAGTTGTGCATTTTAATGACCCTTTTCTATTTGAGAACATCTTTTTTAAAAGCCTGCTTCCAGGGCCTAGGGAAAACCCTCTTCTCTCAGAGCAAATACTCCCTTTGATGTGTTGATGATTAAGAGTGGCTGTCCAGGCCTGGAGCTTCGGTGGCAGAGTGGAATTGGAATTAAAAAGCAGAACTCATTTGTTTGAGCAGATTGCCACCAAGGGGCTCCAGGACCATAGGCCCTGGCTGCCTTTGTTTTAGGGTCTGGGTAGGGTTAGGATTTTATTTGCTTTGAAGTATACTCGACTGATGGCTGATTGAGTCCTCTAAGAGTAGGAACCAAGGGACTTATTACCAGGGAAGTTGGATGAATCCTAAGTCTTGCCAATCCTTACATTCCTATAAAATTTGGATGTTTTGGAAGCAAATTTATGTGACCATGATTTATTTCTCCAAAAGGGAAAACCTCTCTGCTCCCATGTTTCCTCACTCTTACCTCTAAAGTTCCCCCCACCCATTTCAGAATTTAGAGTTAAGCAAATTTAAAATATCTTGTCATTGTTTGTATCCTTATACCCACTTTGAAAACAGGGCAATGTGATATTCGTTTATGTTCTGTGTTTTAATATTTCTCTGTTATGTTTTACTGTTAATGTGAAAATAAAGAATTTGCCATGTGGAATAGCTCCTGGTGTCTTGTGTCTTTGACTTCTAGAGGCAAGAACATGTCTGCCTCTTGAGAGAGGAGTATAATCACAGCCTCATAGATTTCTCCATTTCAAATTGATGAGGTGATTGAGGCTTTAGCTGGCAATTTTATTTTGCTGTTGGTAATGAAAAGCTGTGTTTCCCTCTTAAGAACCCCCCGCCCCATACTGGTATGTGTCTCTTTGCTCTCAGATCCAGGGGTCTGCATTTCCCAGTCTCTCCTGCCTGCTGGTTTCCTGCTAGCTTTGATTCCAGGAGACTGTAACATGTGCAAAAGAGAGAGAAGGAAAGGGCTTTTTTTCCCTTTAACTGTTGGCAGCACTTCTGACAGTGGCAGCAGCAGTGGGCAGGTGTGGGCTCCTGGGTTCCTGCTCAGCACAGTTCTGGCCAGTTGCCTCAGTTTCTTTGTTTGGTTTGAGTTTAGGAATCTCTGTTGCCATAAATCATGTTGTTCTGGGATTAGGCTGGAAAGGCTGAAAATGATTTCCAGCTGAGAGCAAATGGAGTACACTGGGTTCTAGGAAGACTCAATCCATAGGTATGAGCTTACTATTTTTTTTTCCTGAGACAGAGTCTCACTCCATTGCTCTGAGTAGAGTGCTGTGGCGTCAGCCTAGCTCACAGCAACCTCAAACTCCTGGGCTCAAGCGATCCTCCTGCCTCAGCCTCCTGAGCAGCTGGGACTACAGGCATGCGCCACCATGCCCGGCTAATTTTTTCTATATATATTAGTTGGCCAATTAATTTCTTTCTATTTATAGTAGAGATGGGGTCTCGCTCTTGCTCAGGCTGGTTTCGAACTCCTGACCTTGAGTAATCCACCCGCCTCGGCCTCCCAGAGTGCTAGGATTACAGGCGTGTGAGCCACTGCACCTGGCCTGTCCTGGTCTTTTCATCACATACTTTGCATTACTGACAGTTAAGTGAGAGTTGGGTAACCTGAGTGAAAGCTCACTTTCACTCTTTGATATCTCTGTCTCTGGGACAGCCTAGACTGTTTTCCCACAAATTATTTCTCCTACATGTAAAATTAAAATAAAGCAGACAGTCATATACATTATTATGACCCTTTACGCTCCTCCAAATACCCTCCTTTGTCTTAGTTTCCTAGGTACTGAGGCTAGGAAGTACCAGTGGAAGAATAAATGGTTCAGAGGAGTCCATGACACACGGGCTAGGACTGCCCACTTCAGTGCTTATCATGGAGTCAGTCGAAGAGGAGAATAAGGTAGTGGAGCTGCTGTTCAGGCTTGCTCTGGAAAGCAGGGTGCAGACCTAGCTGGATAAGGAGACTACTGATGGCCAGGCGCGGTGGCACACACCTGTAATCCTAGCACTCTGGGAAGCCGAGGCGGGCAGATTGCTCAAAGTCAGGAGTTCGAAACCAGTCTGAGCAAGAGCGAGACCCGTCTCTACTAAAAATAGAAAGAAACTAATTGGCCAACTAATATATATATAGAAAAAATTAGCCAGGCATGGTGGCGCATGCCTGTAGTCCCAGCTACTCAGGAGGCTGAGGCAGCGGCAGGATTGCTTGAGCCCAGGAGTTTGAGGTTGCTGTGAGCTAGGCTGACCCCATGGCACTCACTCTAGCCTGGGCAACAAAGCAAGACTCTGTCTCAAAAAAAAAAAGATTTTTGTATTTCATAATAATGCCCACCAGAAAGCCTCCACCACGGAAGAGGCACCGAGCAACCATTAGGCAAAATGACTCGGCCAACTGATTAGCCAGGCTCAGCCACTCTGGACCTGATGTGCTTGCTGCTTGGCATGTGAACAGAGCAGTCATAGTGTCAAACCTCTGAGCTCAATGGTAAGGACTCTGACTCACCAAGACAGATTGAGCTACTACTGGCTCTGAATGTCCAACTCATCAGTCATAGAGACCAGCACTGAGTCTCTGATATGCAGTGTTTTTAGAGAAGACCAAACAGCCCCTGGGTGGCAAGTCATCTGTACTGGGCCCCTGCCATCTGTAAGTTGATCCTCATGGGGATAGACTACCTGTTCTGGGTGTGGGTTTGCCTTTCTTGGTCTCAGAACCTTGGCTAGATTGCCACACAGGAGAGCATCTGATCCAGGGGACCCCCTTTACGGTAAAGGAAGTGCAGAAGTGGGACTTGCTGGTCATGTCATATTCTGTACCATCCAGAAGTGGCCAACTAATATTAATAAAATCCTGGTAATGACCCTCTTTTTCTTTCTTTTTTTTTTTTTAGGAGATGAGATCTTTCTCTGGTGCCCATGCAGGCATCACCATAGCTCGCTGCAGCCTCCAACTGTGGGCTCAATGGATCCCCCTGGCCCAGCTTCCCAAGTAGCTGGGACTATAGGTGTGCACCACTATGCTTGGCTAATTTTTTTATTTTTTGTAGCGACAAGGTCTTGCTATGTTGCCTAGGCCAGTCCCAAACTCCTAGCTCAAGTGATTCTCCTGCCTCAGCCTCCCAAAGGGCTGGGATGACAGATTTGAGTGACCATACTCGGCTTTGGTAATGACCTTGTAAAGGCACAGCTGAAGCATTAGCTGAGAAGCAATACTCTGAAAGAATGGGATGCAGTGTTGGAATTAGAGACTGCTGTGCTCCCAATGGGAAGGATACAGGGGTCCAGGAACCAATGTGGGGAGCCAGGCATGCCCCCACTTACCATCACTTCCAACAACCCCGGGTGATTTTCCACTTCCCATTCCAGCATTTCTGGACCCTGCATGGTTGAAGGTCCTGGTTTCCTACGGAGGTACGCTTTGCTAGGTGACACAGCGAGAGAGTCCTACCAAACTACCAGTTATGGCTGCAACCACGACACTTGGGACTTCTTGTGCCCAAGGACCAATAGGTGAGAAAAGGAATGAACACGTTGGCAATAGTAATTAACCATCATCAACAGGATGAAGTAGGGCTGCCTCTTCCTACTTTGCCTCCAAAAAAAGATTACATTTTTTTCTTCCATACAAGAGTACTAGTGAATCACCTTTATGCCATTGGGGCATGTTTTAGGCTCTATTAGGTTTTGGTCTATTGTAGTTTTGCCCTTTCTTCCAGGACAAGGTCCTTATTTCTAGGGTGTTGTCCTTTCTCCTGAGATGTGGCTTTTACTCCTAGGGTGTATCCCCTTGGGACCTCAGCTAAAAGCCTATAGTGTTTACCAAAACTTTTATACCTCAGCAGGGTTTAAACTCTAACATCTGTCTCCCCAACACTTAGGGGGCTGCTGAAATCTCTGTTCAGTTAATTACTCTCTTAGCTATTATCTTCTGGATTTGTTGGAGTCTCATTCTGTGCATGCACAGTTTAGGAATCAGCCAGTGACTTGAGAAAAATTTGTTCACAGTTTTGGCTCCTTCTCTGTGGTTTCCTTCTCTCTAGTGTTTTGACCCTTAAGACCCAGTCACTTTGGGGGCTTGGAACTCCTACGTGTATATTTTGAGCCCAGTAAGGTTGTTACTTTCTGCATGGGATGTATTCCTTTGAGCCACAATTTAGACAGTACACTCCAATCTGGGCTGGAGCACCCCTGTGTACTTAACCTTTTCTCAGAGATTGTAGCCCCTTGGCCTGGCGCGGTGGCTCATGCCTGTAATCCTAGCACTCTGGGAGGCCGAGGCGGGAGGATTGCTCGAGGTCAGGAGTTCGAGAGCAGCTTGAGCAAGAGCGAGGCCCTGTCTCTACTAAAAATGGAAAGAAATTAGCAGGACACCTAAAAATATCTAGAAAAAACAATTAGCTGAGCATGGTGGCGCATGCCTGTAATCCCAGCTACTGGAGAGGCTGAAGCAGGAGGGTCGCTTGAGCCTAGGAGTTTGAGGTTGCTGTGAGCTAGGCTGATGCCACAGCGCTTTAGCCCAGGCAACACAGTGAGACTCTGTCTCAAAAAAAAAAAGATTGTAGCCCCACATTTCCTGACTGCATTGGTTACTTTCTTACACTTTCCAAAGACATTTTATATATTTCATCTAGTTTTATATGGTTTTATTTTAGTAGAAGTATAACTTCCCAATCATGGCTAGAATCAGAAGCATCCCCGATTACATATACGTAGGGTCTACGGGGCCTTACATGATGTGACTTCTGCCCAGTTTTCTGACCCCTTCTTCCACACCTCTCTTCCCTCATTTCCCTTCAGCCACACAGGCCTTCATTTTGAATACTTATTCCCACCTCCTCAAGACCTTGAGCTAGTTATTGACATAATGTGCTTTTGGAACATTTTGCATCCATTTTTATATGGTTGCCATCTTTATGCTGATTTCCTCTTAGCTCAGTTATTACTCAGAGGGCCTTGCCCTAGCTGCTTTTAGATAAAGCCCTTCCCCTCCCTAGTCATATATCTTTTCTTTTTCGAGTCAGGGTCTCACTCTTTTGCCCAGGCTACAGTGCAGTGGCATCATTATGGTTCACTGTGGCCTCCACCTCCTCAGCTCAAGTGATCCTCCTTAGGATCCTGCCTCCTGAGTAGCTGGGACTACAGGTGTGTGCTGCCACTCTCAGCTATATATATATATATATATATATATATATATATTTAGTCTTGCAATTGCCCAGGCTGGTCTCGAATTCCTAGGCCTTAAGCAATACTCCCATCTCAGCCTCCCAAAATGCTAGGATTATAGGCGTGAGCTACCATGCCTGGCCTATCTTCGATTTTCTTCATAGTACTTATACTTTCTGAAATTATCTTGCTCTTTGTTTACTATCTTATCCCTTGTATAATCCAGTTCTTGAGCAATGCCTGGCACATTTAAAAAAATCCTCAACAGATACCTGTTGAATAAATAAATTAGGACATTGAGGATCAAGAAACAAAGGGTACAATAAAGGATAAAATGAGTTTCATAGCAGTCATTGATATGCCATCCAGACCCAGCAAGACCCAGAAACTCCTTGTGAGCCATGGCCACGGCCCTGTGGGCTAGCTCGGGAAGCACCAGGAGACAGGTAATGCTGGTGGCATGCTTCACCACAGGATTAGCTTGGACAAATACCACCCAGGTTACTTTGGGAAAGTTGGTGTGAGGCATTACCACTTAAAGAGGAACCAGAGCTTCTAGCCAACTGTCAACCTTGATAAATTGTAGATGGTGGTCAGTGAGCAGACATGGGTAAATGCTGCCAAAATCAAGTCTGCTCTCATCAATGATGTGGTACGATTGGGCCACTACAAAGTTCTGGGGAAGGGAAAGCTTCCAAATCAGCCTGTCATCATGAAGACCAAATTCTTCAGCAGAAGAGCTGAGGAAAAGATGGGGGGAGGGGATGGCCTGGGTCCTGGTAGCTTGAAGCCACGCGGAGGGAGGTTCATTAAATGCTAACAAATGCTTTCTCAAAAAAAAAAAAAAAAAAAAGAATGAATGACTAGTTTCTGATAGAGACAGTACACTTTATATTGAAAATTCAATGAGGTCAGGAGACCTCATTTAGTTCAACTGCATTTCTACTGGGTTGGAGGCTCATGGCTTCTGTATGGTCTAAGGTCCCCTGACATGGCCTGGCTGCATTCCCAGATTTCTGTTTCTTGCTTCTTGGTCTCTGTGATTTCAAGATAGGCACATATACTCCTTATCTTGAGAGACAATCTGTGGCTGGCATAGGGTTTCCTCAATGCAAGTTGAAAGATAAGCAACTGCTGGCTTCTCTCAGCAGATTGTCAATTTCAAGACTTAAACTGGTTTAAAATAATCTCCCACTTGTTTGAGCACATGCAGACCAAGCATTGGAAATTAATGGACTCTAGTGACTTCTCAAGGACTTCTAGTGATGTCTCTAGCTTGCCTGAAACTTATCTATGCCATATGTTTGCTAATGAACATGTACATTTATCTGGGGTGCCTTAGTCAATGCTTAAGGCTAGCAGCAGCCTCAGGATTATTTTATGGCAGTAGCAAGGGTAGGTGTTGGTGGAGGTGCCAACATACTGTCAGTCCCCAAGAGAGAGACCTGGGCTCAGCCACAGTGGGCAGTTTATACCCACAGAATAATTTTAGTCTCAGGGGCTTCTTGTGGGTTCTCTGAGCCTCCATCTGACTTCTCAGGTTCTATCTAATGTCTGATCTAATCTTGAGTGCTCAAATATGGGTCAGGCAGGATAGCAGAAGCTGCATTTTTTAACATGGTGACCAGTAGGGATTACATGCCCCAAACTGCCCTCGTTCTCTAACATGCTGCATTGGCAGAGTGGGATAGAAGTGCACCAGGGTAGTGTGAAGACCCAGGGATTCTGGTGGAAAGCTGTCTACAGGCTGCCAGAGTTCATCCTGGGCAGCTCATTTAACCCCTCTTTGAAGAACTGTTAACATATCTGTGCCCTTTCTCAGTTGAATTAGAACGTAACCCAGGCGTGATGCAAGGCGCCGATTACACAATGGATATGAAGAGGCTTTGGAAAGATGTCCTCTCTTCTCTCTTAAGGAGAAAGAGGGACACTAGCGTGGGGTGCATAAGGTGCTGCTGAAGATGTATGCAGGTCAGCAAGAACAGTTACGGTCACATGGACTTAACCTGATTCCTCCAAGATGTGTTTTGTTAATTTTTCATTCCTTTTTTTTTTTTTTTTGGAGACAGAGTCTCACTCTTGTTGTCCCGGCTAGAGTACCATGCGTGGTGTCAGCGTAGCTCACAGCAACCTCAAACTCCCCGGCTCAAGCAATCCTCCTGCCTCAGCCTCCCTAGTAGCTGGGACTATAGGCATGTGCCACCATCTCTGGCTAATTTTTTCTATATATTTTTAGTTGGCCAATTAATTTCTTTCTATTTTTAGTAGAGACGGGTCTTGCTCTTGCTTAGGCTGGCTTTGAACTCCTGAGCTCAAACTATCCGCCAGCCTCGGCCTTCCAGAGAGCTAGGATTACAGGCGTAAGCCACCACCACCACCGGCCTATTTTTTCATTCCTTAAACATGAGTCTAAATTTTGGCTTTGGCAGCAGGACTCAGGCACACAGGGCTTCACCATTTCTTAACAATATTGCCTATAACTTTTTGAGTTCCATATTGTGGGCCAACACTGTCCTCATTATTTCTAATCTAAACAATTATACTTTCTATTTGAGCTCTTGCCTAGTCTGCGGAAGAGCAAGGACTATAACCCTGGTTTTTTCTTATCTGTACTCTTAACCCTTATTCGATGCTGCCTTGCTCTCTGGTTAAGAAAGACTTTTGAGGCTTGTGGAAGGACAGAGGGAGAGATTCAAGAAGAGGCTCTTCGATTCTAGAAGACGCCTGGTCCTGTAAAGTTCACCTCTACATATAAAGTTTTTTTTTTTCCAAGCCGTTGAACGGGCGACGTATTCTACCGGCCATCTTGGTTGTGGCAACTCCAATGCCTTTGATTTTTTTTTTCTGTGACGACAGCCAAGGGAATTAGGCAAAACCGCCCGGCCCGTTTTTTGGAGGAGCTGAGCAACTCCCCAGGTGAGGAGTGCTGCTCTCCTGCCTGCCAGGTCCAGGCCGTGGACACCTCCGAGCGCGGCCTCCTTCCTCATCCCACTCAGAGCTCGCGGTCCGCGCCCGCCGGGGAGGGGCTCGACTGGGCCCCGCCGGCCTCCGCCCCGCGGCCCCGCCCCTCATTTAAATACGCGGCGCCGGCGGGTGCGTCGAGCTCGCCGCGGACCCAAGATGGCGGCGTGTGGACGTGTACGGAGGATGTTCCGCTTGTCGGCGGTGCTGCAGCTGCTGCTGCTCGCCGCGGCCGGGGCCCAGAAACTCCAGGGCCAGGGCGGCCACAGCCAGGGCCAAGGCCCAGGGCCCAACTTTGCGTCCTTGGTAGGACAGGCTGCAGGCGGCGGCCCGGCGGGTCAGCAGCTGCCCCAGCTGCCTCAGTCATCGCAGCTCCTCCAGCAGCAGCAGCAGCAGCAGCAGCAGCAGCAGCCGCCTCAGCCGCCGCAGCCGCCTTTCCCGGCGGGTGGGCCTCCGGCCCGGCGGGGCGGAGCGGGGCCCGGCGGGGCTGGCGGGGGCTGGAAGCTGGCGGAGGAAGAGTCCTGCAGGGAGGACGTGACCCGTGTGTGTCCCAAGCACACCTGGAGCAACAACCTGGCGGTGCTCGAGTGCCTGCAGGACGTGAGGGAGGTGAGGAAGTGGGACGGAACCGGGAGGGCCAGGCCTGGTGCGGGCCTGAGGGTGTCGCCGGCCTTGGAAGCCGCTGACGCCGGTCTGCTGCTTCCTTGGCTTCCTCTGTGCTGCACTCGCTCCTTCCGTCCCTGCCCCTCAGTCTCCGGTGCATTCAGGGACGAGGACCCCCACCCCCACTGTTTCCTTCCCCGGCCCTTATTACTCTCCTTGTCGCGGGGGTCTGGGTCCAGACCTAGGCTCCTGGCCGCAATCCGCGAAGGCCCAGAGCGTGTTTCTGTTTGCTCCTGTCTTTTGTGTGATGCTCTGTGCAGAGTGGCTCCTCGCTGAGATCAGTTTAGGATTTTGGCATCAGTTTCGACTCGGACAATTTGTAGCAGTTCATTTAAACATGAAAAAATGGTTGGCGTACGTAAGTTGTTTAAGAATGATCTGCTTTTTATTAGCAGTAGATACTGTTTGGTAGGTAACTTGGGTCCTATTCTGATGTGTATTGTAGTCAACAGCAGAATAAACTGTCTTTTACCCCATTCTTTTGTAATTTGCAAATCCCTGTTATTTAACTGGTGCTGAAACTAATGCAAGCTTTTCTTTTCTTCACTTCCTTTGGTCAGTTTGTAGTGAACCTCTTGTTTAAGCTATTAACTCCCATTGACTTGGAGCCTCAGAGCTTGAAAACTTAGGGCAGCATTTGAAGCTGTGTTTGTGATTCGGTTGTGGGGTCTTGCCTTTCTTAGATCTGAATATGATTTTAACATTTTTTTAAAACTGTAATTCCATAATAGATTATTAACAGTATCTCTTAATGAAATCTTGATTTGATTTTGCTCGATGTGATTTGGTTAAGTGATATTGATAATTTCTTCTCTAGATCTAATGCTGCAGACCTAAGTGCACATATGACAATTCTCAGTTTGGAAGCAAATGTGGTAGTAATACTTTTTTTTTTTTTAAAGATATAGGTATATTGGCCGGGCACGGTGGCTCACGCCTGTAATCCTAGCACTCTGGGAGGCCGAGGCGGGCGGATTGCTCGAGGTCAGGAGTTCGAAACCAGCCTGAGCAAGAGGGAGACCCCGTCTCTACTATTAATAGAAAGAAATTAATTGGCCAACTAATATATATAGAAAAAATTAGCCGGGCATGGTGGCGCATGCCTGTAGTCCCAGCTACTCGGGAGGCTGAGGCAGGAGGATTGCTTGAGTCCAGGAGTTTGAGGTTGCTGTGAGCTAGGCTGACGCCATGGCACTCACTGTAGCCTGTGCAACAAAGCGAGACTCTGTCTCAAAAAATAAATAAATAAATAAGGTATAGGTATATAAACTTAGCCTCAAAGGTGACAAATAGAATGGAGCTGCTCCTTGATACCATTCCATTTGAGAAATTGTATTATCGCAAGTGTCTATGTTTAAGACTATGAGAAGACCACTGGTTTGAGGAAATTTGCTACTCTTGGCAGTCTTTACCCTTTATCCCACTGTGGCATTTATTCTAGTATTCTATACAAAAGTAACTCAGAAGAGGAAAAGACATGCATAATCAGGAAACAGAAAGGAAGTTTCCAGAGCCACCAGAAATGTGAGGCCTTACATGACTTCTTATCTACATCATGAAGACTAGAAGAATAATCCCTTGTTATTCTTTGTTCTTCCTCTACTCTAGTAAATACATCTAAGAGTCTTTACTGTCAAACTTTTTGGAATTTTCTATTTGGTCTTTGAGGATACATAATAGATGTTGTTTCCTCAAACTAGGATCCTAATATTGGTGACAAAACACAGTTATTAGTGGTTTGTGGTAGAAACCGGACATTATTAATGAAAGTGTCAAAAAATGGTCCATTCAAGGAGGGCATGTCTCTTTTTTCACGTGTATTAGGGGACATTGGGAAATACTCCACTTACAGGAGGTGGTTTTATGCTCCAGGAAGAAAAGTGTCATGCAAATTGGAGATAGGGGGATTTTTTTGGCGGATGTGAGGGGACCACATTTCCAATTGAACATATTTTCCTCTCATTTTATATACAGAAATATTGAAAGGATGAGTACCATGAACATCAGCATATATTCTTCAGGAGGTGGGGTTGTTATCTATTTGTAGCATAACAGTACCTCAATGGAATTATTTTTAAACCTTTTTTTCCCTAAAAACAGCAAAAGAAAATTTTATTCCACTTAGTTTGAGAATTAATTAAATATAATTTATGTGTTTGAAAGAGCATAACTTAACTAAACTAGCTAGGCACATTTGAAGAGAAATGTATGGAATATATTTTTTATTTATGATGCTGTTCAGTAAGTAGAACCGTTTGTTTGGATTTCTTTTTTGGAGACAGGGCCTAAGCTGTCAGTCACCTGGGCTGGAATCATAGCTCACTGCCACCTCAAACTCCTGGGGCTCAAGTGATCCTCCTGCTTCCGCCTCCTGAATAGCTGGGACTACAAGGGCAAGTCAGTACTCCTGGCTAATTTTTAAATTTATTATAGAGACTTGGTCTCACTACGTTGTCCAGGTCAGTTGCGAACTCGTGGCCCAAGTGATCATCTGTCTTTCACCTACCAAGGTGTTGAGATACAGCTGTGCGCCACTATGCCTGGCTTGTTTCCTTAGAAGTTTATTTGTGATGTTCATAGTTTTTCTTACACAGTAGAGTGAACTCTGTAATGACTCCCTAGGTCTCTTTACTCACCTTCAACTATCCTCACTCTTTTATTTTGGGGGCACAGGGGTTGGGAGAGTGGCATATTTTAAAGCAAATCGCAGATACTATGTCATTTCACTCAAATACTTCAATATATGTCCATGATAATTACTAAAAAAAAAACCCAAAACTAGAACCTAAGTGTTATTTTTTAGTATTTAAATGCATCATGAAATGTTTTTTCTGAATTTCTTGGTGCCTTCTCTTGATATATCAGTTTCAAATTATAAATTTGTGGGCCACTATCTAGGGTATGCTCAGAGTGAATGCTTTGTAAATGTTTAGTTAAGGTAGATTATTTTATATATTGAATAGGAATTAATATTTCCATATTACAAACCGTAAACCCACTTTCAAACTCATAGGTGTACATATTTGTTACTCTGTTCCTAACGTTTCACTTAACTATATATATCTGAGGTGGTGAACCACATTATTTCTGTTAGCTCATTTAATACTCTTGATAGTCCTGTGAGGTGCATAGTGTTACTATTTTAGCTGAGAAATAGGCTCAGAGAGCTAAAGTAACTTGTCTGACATTATACCCTAAGTGGTAGAGCCGGGAGTCAGCAAGTCCTCTGACTTCAAAGACCACACTCTTTCTAATCTACTGTGGGTGGTTGCAGCTGGGGAAATTAGTATGTGACTGTTGAGAATGGCACAGATTTATAAATGGACACAAAATGGGAAGGATCACCTAAAATTAGAATCCTTTTTTTTCACTATCAAGAACAATGGAGTAGCAACATTTATGTCTTGAAGTATTGTAGATTCCTCAGGCAAACAGACCAGCATTATTGGACAAAGCTAATTTAATTACTAGTCCATGTTCATTGTGAACAGAATTTCTACTTAATGTAAAGACTTTCAAATCCCAACTCACCTTAAGCAGGAATTGTACAATGGAAACGTTTAGTTATATTTCCATGCTATTTGTATTGAATCCATGGAGCAGCACAAAAAGTGAACTGGGACTAGAACTGACACTGTCATTACCCAACTCATGACTATGGGCAAGTCATTTTACCACTCTGAGTCTCAGTTCTCATCTATTAAATGAGAAATGAGAAGTTTGGTATTAGTATAACTTCCAATAACTCTATTATCTAACCTGTACGAATTGTTCCCTGTATATATTCTCTGTATGTATTTATATATATTTATGCTTTCTAGGATAGTATGTGTACCATCTCCTTATTTCACATTCATTCATGGAGGGCACCAGGGATAAGAATAGTACAAACAGCAGTTAATCCAAACATTGTTTGGCTTTAGGATATATTATGATTTTTTTGTTTGAGCCAGTATGGAATTTCCTCCTATGCTGTCTCTCAGTGGTTGGAAGCAATCTAACCACATAATCAAGTCATCATTGATCTTCTATTATGCACTTATTATTGTGGAAGGACACTAGTACTTTAAGATACCACCATTGCTTACAGTTGGCTTGATAAATGAAATTGTTGTGATCAAGAAACCATTATAAAAGATGGTGTTAATCACTTGATGTTTTATAGACAGTAAATTATTTTAGGTCCATGAAATCAAAATTAGGATTTAGATTTGGATGGAACCCAGGTCTGCTATACTTAGCTTAAAAATCCTGTCATTTTATTTTTCCTTAGGTAGGGGCTGTCTACTTTATCCCTAAGTAATGATATATATGAATCTATGAGTTTGATGTGCTTGTTGTACTTTTCTAATATATATTAAACTAAATATATGACCATGAAAACACACAATACCAATGCGTACCATCTGAAGTCTTCTTGTATAACCCCAGTGGTACACACTTTGGAAAACACTAAGACTAGATTATCTCTTAAAATTATTCCAGCTCTGGTGCTTTATGATATTGTGATCTGTGGAAATATAAAATGTGCAAGAGAAAAGGGGAGATACTTTGAGGTATTATAAGGGGGCTATGTTGACTGAAGTATAAAGTTTGAGAATTTTTTCAGAGTCCAGCTTATGAAGGATCTTATAGACAACCCTGACTAAATCTCCAAGTAGTGTCCAGAAATGGGATGTGGTTTTATCCCAACCTAAGATTAAAAATATTGAGATATTGGAGATAATTGAGAGTTACTTGTAAAATAGCATTGTCATTTACAGCAAATACTTTTAAGAAGTCTCTTGATGAGAGTGCTTTACTGTATATAGTTGCTTAATAATTCATTGTTCTGTAGAAGGAAATAAAATACTTTAAGAGTCTAAAAGATAAAATGCTACATTTCTCTTTTGTACATTTCTCCTAATGTGTTCAAAACAAATTTAGTCAGCAACAATCCCAAAAGA